GCAACCCGATAAGAAAATGGGGCATGGTCAATTTCGAGTACAAGACTGACAGACAAAATGAGGCTACATCCAGAAGATAAAACAAAACTTATTCATATTGCATGCATCTTAGACATATTTAAGAGCATCACATTTATTTTTCACATACATAATGTTTTGCAGCTTTTAGAGTCAAGTTTCAACTCCAAAATGAAGACACTCGATTCAAAAGCACTTTAACAAAAGACCTTCGAGTTGATTACACTCAGCTCAAAGGCATATCATTTGCAGCATAGCTAAAGGCAAGAAGGGTTATCTGCCAATAAAAGATCTTCGAGTTCGATTAGACTCGGCTCAAAGGTGCATCATTTGCAGCATAGCTCAAGGCGAAAAGGGTTATCTGCCAAAAAAAGACCTTTGAGTTCGATTACACTCAGCTCAAAGGCACATCATTTTTAGCATAGCTCAAGGTAAGAAGGGCTTCCTTCCAAAGACCTTCGAGTTCGATTACACTCAGCTCAAAGGCACATCATTTGCAAAATAGCTCTAGGAAAGAAGGGCTACCTGCCAAAGACCTTCGAGTTAGATTACAGTCAGCTCAAAGGCACATCATTTGCAGCATAGCTCAAGGAAAGAAGGGCTACCTGCCAAAGACCTTCGAGTTCGATTACAATCAGCTTAAAGGCACATCATTTGCAATATAGCTCAAGGCAAGAAGGGCTACCTGCCAAAGACCTTCGAGTTTGATTACACTCAGCTCAAAGGCACATCATTTGCAGCATAGCTCAAGGCAAGAAGTGCTACATGCCAAAGACCTTCGAGTTCGATTACACTCAGCTCAAAGGCACATCATTTGCAGTATAGCTCAAGGCGAGAAGGGCTATCAGCCAACAAAAGACCTTTGAGTTCGATTACATTCAGCTCAAAGGCATATCTAGTACAGTATAACTCAAGGCGAAAAGGGTTATCTGTCAATAAAATTTCGTCGAGTTCGATTCCATTCAGCTTGATGACACATCATCAAGAAAATACTTTATGGTTGAAGCCAAGGTCTTTGAGTCAAGAAGAAGATCTGGGCAATCTCTTAGCTTAGTACAGCATAACTCAAGGCAAGAAGGGTTATTGTCAATAAAAACTTTTGAGTTCTACTCTATTCAGGTCGATAACTTATCAACTACCTTCCGGGTAAAGTTTCAACCGAGGTCTTTAAGTCAAGAAGAAGACCTGGGTGGGCTATGTTTTCAAGACAAAAAACTATTTTCCGGCAGCACAACTTAAGTCGAGGAAAGTTGTCTATCAGCGAAGATTTCTGAGTTTGATTTCGAGAGACTATCAACCACATGGTGGAGTCAAGGAACTATTTCCCCATCGAATTTTTAAAACGAGGTCTTTAAGTCGAGAAGAATACATGGGTTAGTCGTGCCTTAAACCGAGAAGAAGACCGAAGGACAACAAGAAGCCATATTCCTATTCAAATTTCGAACTACGACTTCAATCTAAAATCATTTCAAGATGGACTCGACTTCGAGACGGATGAGCCATCCGGAACTCAATTCGACAGGGAGTTGTCCTTAATTGAACTATCAGATTCAATTGTCAACTTCATCGAACGAAAATTTATGTCTTTTTATTTTTGTCCTATTTTTCGTTCCACGAAAAAGGATAAAGAGGGGCAGCCGTAGACATCTATTTTCATCTAATTATATATATATATATATATATATATATATATATATAATCTCCAAATGTTTTTGAAATACATATAATATATATAGTTTTGAAAATGTTTTTTAAATATATATAATATATAGTTTTAAAAAAACATTTTGAAAATATATAATATAGGGTTTTTAAAACATTTTGAAAACCTATATAATATATATTTTGAAATCATTTTAAAAATATATATAATATATAGTTTTTTAAAATTTTGAAAATTTATATATTTTTAAAAAAAAATTCATATATATATTTTTTAAATCATTTTTGAAAACTATATAATATATAGTTTTGAAAACTTTTTTAAAATATATATTTAAAATGTTTTTAGAAATATATATATTAGTTATATATATATTATTAGTATATTATTATTATTATTTTAGTTATTTGTTTTATTAATTCTTTTTATTTTCTTTTTAAAAACAAATTCGGTCCAAGTCCAAGGCTATGGTCCAAACAGTCCAACAGGTTTAGGCCCTGACCCAGCCCAGAACCGAAACCCAAAAAGCTAGGGTTTTCACATCTTAGTCATGCCGCATAGGAGGGAAACAGAGGGGTGCGCGTGAGGCCATGCTCCAGTCAACATCGAACAACAGACCGAGATCCCCGGGACTGACCATCTTGGGGTGACCGGTCACACAACGGCCATGTATTTCGGGGCCAAAAATAACCACATCAGGGCTATAAAAGGCCCCGGTGAGGCCATGCAAAAGGGAAAAGCAACAAATCGAAACCAATAGTGGGACGAATAGTAGACAAACACAGATCGAGCAACAATCGAAACACAACAATAGTACAACCAAAGCCAAAATACCAACACAAATCAACAAAAGAGAAACCTGAAGCCATTCGAACAAAAGCAAAAGAAAAACAAAAAAATAAGAAAAGTTTTGCGTAGATACGGGCTTTGAGTCATTTCCAGGCGAAACAAACCTCGGATTTGCAACAAGGGTGGAAAGGCACGCCATATAGTGCCCTTCTCTCCATTTTCCGACGCCGGCGTACGGCGGCGACCACCGGTCAACGGCAGCCAAAGCGACGGAGGACCCACCGACGGCAGGGCTACGGTTGAAACTCTTGAGCGAATTTATTCTCTCTCTCTTTCTCTTCTCTCGGTTGGGGAATGGAACAAATGAGAGAATGTTTGATTTTTGGCCTAATTTTGGCCATTTATATCGCGCGTAAAACGGCTTCATTATAAGGAGGACTTTGTCTTTAATTTCTCGTAAGGATAAATTATACTTAGGGTCCTCATACTTTGTGATTTTATTTTCTAGCCACTTAATGAACCTTTGCCTTATTTAATTTTGAGCATTAAATTTTCATTACTTACATTTTAGTTCGGTTTTTTATGTTTTATGTTCTTCATGCTAATATTTGAATTTGACCCTTATATTTTTGTATCTTCTGTTTTGGTCACTAATTTGGCATGAATGTTTAGGGTTAATTACTATTTAGTCCTTCATATTCTTACTTATTTTATTTCATTATATTTTTCTTTGTTCCTTTTTTTTATTTTTAACATCTTTTATATTTTTTTGTTTTTTACTTTATTATTATTTTTTTATTTTTTTTATTTTTTTTTATTTTTTTCTATTCATTCTTTTTTCCTCCTCCTTTTGATTTATCCTTTTATTATTTTCTTTATTTTTATTTTTTACATTTTCCCTTTCTTTTGATTTATTTAATATATTTTTTCCCTTTTGATTTATTTTTTTATTGTTTATTTATTATTATTATTATTATTATTATTCTTATGTTTTTTCTTTGAATTATTTAAATATTAATTTATTCTTTTTTATCTAACATTTTCGACCTATTTTTAGAAATTCCAACCAATCAAATGTAAGTAATTTGAATCGGGTTTTTAAATTTTAATTTAATTTTTTTTATTTTCGCAATTAAAGACAACCGACAAATTAATTGGTATCGAAAGGGCGGTTCAAGGGTGTTAATCCTTCCTTGACCGTAACCAACTCCCAAACCTGACACGTTTCTGGTAAAACACAGATCAAGTAAGATGGTGTCCGACTCACCTAAATTCGTTTTAAAATGGTCGGTGGCGACTCTAACTCATTTATTCACGTCGAATCCTAATTTCGGGCTCAACCAAAAGACGACCGCTACAGCCGTATATTTCTGTAGAATTATGTGTTGGTATTCTACAGAATGTATTTGGACATTTAAGTGGTCATATTAAAACGTTGAATTTTCAGACAGCAAATTCATTACCGCTTTAAATCAATGATTTTTGTGGCTGATTTACAGATGTTGTAACAATTATTTTTACCATTGAATCTGGATAGGCTTGAGTCCAGATACAACCAGCTCTAGTCTATTATTTTCAGCTATTAATTACGTAAATAAAATCTGAATTTATTTAACATTTTATTTGGACGGTTTTAACCCCGAAGCAAGCCTATAAATAGATCTCTTTGAGCTTTTCATATTATCCAAAACTTCAAAACAATTTCTTTCCCTTACAAATCCTCTCAAAAGCTTTCTTTCTTTTCGGTGAGAAAAACAATATCACGACCACTCTGAAATTCGGGTGTAAGAATTTTCAGAAAGTAATGCTAATCTCAAGGGACGACCGTCTATAGCATCGATTACATATATTGAGAAGAAATTGTTTCTAAGTTAATGGTTTATACACAATATGATTGTTTGAATTTACTGTTTTATTATTTTTATTAATTTCTAGTCAATGCTAACTATTTCATTTTGCAGTTTCTATTTTCAATATAAATCCATACTATAAAAAACGTCATTTTGTTTAATGGTTTATCTTTCATAATAGGTTTCAACGCATGTTCTAAAATTTAATAAAGGCAGTAATTTTTTTTAATTCCGAAATAAAGTTATAGTTTGAAATTTTTTTATACCATTAATGTTAATATGTTTAGGGAATAAATAAAAACTATCAAGTTTAAAAACTAAATACCATTTATTTTAAATTTTAACAATTGACTAAATTTATAGTAGAATGCTTATACAAATAACTTTAAAATGTTCAAGATCAACTAAAAATATAAAAGTTTAGAAATTAAATATTATTTATATAATTTGTTAATAATAAAACATTTTCAAATACTATGATGATATGTTCCACTTTTGATAAATATAGAATTTAGGTAGAAGGTGATAAATAAGTAAGTGAATTTTACTCTTAAATTTCATTTAACAAAGGCCTAAAATAAGGCCAGTTTACGATGAATATTCTATCCATGGTAGCCCGGCCCATTCGAAATTAAGCCTAAAACGGGAAATGCAGCAAATTCATTGGAGGAGCTTCAAAGAACAAGGTCGGGTGGTACCAAAAAAAAAGGAAGAAAAAAGGGCGATTTGGCGAGTACAGAGAACCCGTTTCTTCCCTAACTCGGTCACCCAGGAAGACGATGCTGAGACAGCTCTTCGCAAAATCAACAGCAAAACATGGCACTTCCAGATTTATTCAGTTCAATCCATATGTTCGTTATCTGCCTTTTTTTCTCCGATTTTCTCAATTCTCTAATCCACTTTCATTGGATTGGTTAATTTTACAATTTTGGTTTTGTTTATGTGACAGAGGGAGATGCATAGCAGAAATAAGAAAGCAATGGAGTTGATAGCAAAAGGGTGGAATGCTTTAAAAGAAGTAGATAGAGTAATTGATTACTGCGAGCTCAATGATAAACGCCTCGTCCCTCTCCTAAGGGTACCAGTAACTGGAAACTCTTCTTTTCATCATTTTATCAATAATATTATTCTTAAGATCTTTTTGATTGGGTTTTGTTCTCTAATTTTAACGTTTAATGATAGGCAGCAAAGGAGAATTTTGAGTTGGCATTGGAAGCTGATAATTCCAATACACATGCTAGGTATTGGTTGTCCAAATTGCATTTGAAGTACCATGTTCCTGGGGCATGTAAAGCCATGTAAGTGGATGGTTTTTTACTTAAAATCGCAATCCCGAATCCTGGCATAATTGCTTAACTATTTTATTTAATTATGAGAGTGCAGAATTCGGATTTTGCTTGTTCGTTTCTCACCATTGTTTGCTACGTTGGTTGAAATTATGATGGCACTGGCTTTAGTTGCAATTTCCAATATTTCTTAGAATACATGTATTATGTTTACAATTTCTCATGTTTTATATTCCATGTTCGTGTTTTTTTTTTTTTGTAATCTCTTCTTTTTAATAGTTACATGTTAGATTAGATTATCTAATAAACAAGACTGTGAAAACTAACTGCCTTGTTATGATAGAGGCGCTGCTTTGTTAGTAGAAGCTGCAGATATGGGTGATAAAGACGCACAATATGAGTTGGGTTGTCGCCTAAGAGTTGAGGTTTGGATCTTTTTTTCTTAAAATATTGCTCTATCAACAGCAGTTTAAGCAGCTTCTATGAGACTGCTTCATACATTTCTTTAATAAAGTTTCTCAAGGAACTCTTTCAAGGGATTGCCTCTCTGATGTATTACATTTTCCTGCAAGTGATATCGTTTGCTTTCTAACATTCATTGTCCTGTTGGATAGAATGACTATGTTCAATCAGATCAGCAAGCTTTTTATTATTTGGAGAAAGCTGTTGACCAGGTACGTTTCTTTGGAAGCCAGTTGTATATGATGCTTTTGTGATATCTCCCTAAACCTTACTTGAACTCCTTATATTTATAGTTGCATCCAGGTGCTCTTTACCTTCTAGGCGCGGTGTACTTGACAGGGGACTGTGTGAAGAAAGACGTTGCTTCAGCATTGTGGTGCTTCCACAGGGCATCGGAGAAGGTGAGATTTCTCTTTGTTCTTATACTTCATGATCTTGTTTCTCGCACATGGATATTCTATGGTTGTTCCATGATTATCAAAATTGGAAGTCAGTAATGTTTATGAACTTTTGGACGGACTACTATTGAACGTTATAGCCCTGATGCTGTTGGAACAGGGAATTATGAATTTGGTTAAGTGATACTCAGAAACTACCAATTAAAGATTATCATAAGCTGAACCGAGCAAAACCAGATAGTTGTACTTGAAAATCAATGATAAGCTGGTTATCCCTCATTATTTAAGCAACCGATGTGGTATAAAAGTGAAAAGGAATATTCTTTGTATTATTTTTGCCCACTAAATTTTTAGAATTTACCTTCTATTTTTTAAAATATATGCAGGGTCATGCTGGAGCAGCCATAGCATATGGATCTCTGCTACTTAGAGGTTAAATATGCTTGCACGCCATCTCACAGTTTTCCTTTGACACTGTATTAGTGTACTACTGAGATTTTCAGAAGGTTATCATATTAACATGTAGTTTTTATCATATAGGGTGAAGGTAAAAGAGAAAAATATAACACTGAACTAGTTTTAACAGCTAATACTATATTGAGTTCAACCTGTTAGGAAACTATTTACATCATAAATATGACTTTAACTTGGTTTACGTTTTACTTCTGTTTGACATATGCTGAACTGAATTCTTATGAAGTATTATTCTTGTTGGCAACTTGTTAGGCGTTCAAGTCCCAGAATGCCTAACAAGATTTAGTTCGGAGAGGGTTTCTGCTTCCCAAAGAGGAAGGAAAAATGTAGAACACCCATCAAAGAACGCTGTTGAAATGGCGAAAGAGCAATTCCAAATAGCAGCAACTGCAGGATGTGACCTTGGACTAAAATGGTTGCAAAGAATCGAGGAGGTGGAGAAGCGTCTGTTGAGTGAAAGTAGCTCCGCAGATGGTGTTTCACAATCAAAACCTGACATTGTTATAATATGATCAGATGACCTCGAAGCCAGAAAGTAACACAATGGGATTAGTTTTTGCAGTCTACATGTATCTTTAACAGGAAGTAATATATATGGTATAACTTTCAGCCATTCTCAATTACACCGTTACCTTTGCATTTGACTTATTGCATTAACACGATGGTGTAGGGCTGCGTATTCAGGATTTTTATTTCTTTTTTCTTTTTTTTCTTTTTTGAAAAGTAGGAAACTTTTATTACCTGAATAGAAAAGTTACATTACTAGGGCCTCGATAGAAAAGCTCTCTAAACCCAAGTGGAAGAAAAAGAGTTCACCCAAGTAATTTCTTATAAGTATATAATCCACCCTTTAGAAACTCAACCTAAAAGCACCCAGTGGAACAGACACAAAACCTATTCACAAGCCAAACAAACCAGAAACAGTATATAAATAGGGCCGCTAAAACCATACTTCAATCACCAAAGCTTATTAAATGGGCGATCTTCCCCTGGCATTGAGCAAACCTACCGTCCAAAGACGAGACCTCCCTGCTAGGAAGAAGAAACCAGTGAATTATTCTGCTTAGAGAGTCAACCCCTGAACAGGAGCTGCCCCTATTGCCAGCTTTGCTAGCTGATCAGCCGCCAAATTACAAACTCTAGGAACGTGCTTAACTACAAACTTTTCTCGAATAACTAGTGCTACAATAGGCCCAAGAATATACACCCATTTGGATGGAGCATTAACCGGATAAAGAAACCAATTAACCACTGCAACACAATCGCATTCGATTATTAACTCTGCCACCTTGAACCACTTTGATTCCAAGAACAACTTTAAACATGCTCGACTACCAAAATTTTCTCTTGTATCGAGGATCCACACCCTATTGGAACAAAAAAAGATAACAACAAAGAACCATTAAAGTCACAGAGAATCTCACCAATACATCGATCACCACCATCCGCTTGCATAGCGTCGTCTACATTAAATTTTAAAGATCCTCTCGGTGGTGGAATCCAAGACAGATGTGGCTTCGTCATCATCTTCTTCAAGAGTTCAATTTGCTGCCAGGTTTTCCATGCTACGTGGGGAGGCTAGAAACTTGGCCTTTAGTCGGCAGGCAACTCGAAAATTAATGAGAAAAACCACCTGGAACACATCTAGTTTTTTGCCATTGAAAACCACGTTGTTCCAATGCAACCAAATAGACCAAATTACACTAATGGCAAGAGACTCGAAACTATCTTACAATGCAGATTAGAAGGGAGAGCCACACACCAAACCATCATGAAACTAATAGGTTCAATCGGAAAAACAATCAAAACTTCCCACAAAGAGAGGAAGACTCCTCAAACTTTCCAAGAAGCCTCACGGGAGAAAAATAAATGCTCAATAGTTTTCAAAAAAGTCAAACAAAACAGACACAATGAATCTGGCAGCGAGACCCCTTTCTTGACCAGTTCAACCCAGATTAGAATTCTTCGACGAAGCACCCTCCAAACAAAAGCTTCTACTTTATAAGGAGCAATTCCCAGCTACACAAACTTCTTCCAGTTAAATTTTGCTGGTCTACTCGGATGATTTAGGAGTGTCACTGATTTAACTGAATGCAAACCGTTGCTAGACCTACGCCATTTGAACTAATCCGAAGATGACGACGAACTCACAAAACTGTTAAGAGCCTGAAACAACTCCTCTCATTGCAACTTTTTGATACATGCATCACAAGGCTCACATCAAAGGAAGAAGTAATAACTCTTCCAAATGATCCACTAGTCCAAGCCTTGGAAAAGAAGACCAGAACAGTGCCAGACTTGTGATGACTTTATGAATGGGATCCTGATCTTATTTGGTCAATATGTTTTCTGGAGATACAATCTTCTGTCTCTTATATTTCCAACGGTTCTTGAATCGCATCTATCCGATATCGGAAACTCAAGATATGGCCATTTTACTGAAGGTGGTGCATGCAGGAAATCCTATACGGGATTAATACGAGATTTTGTAAATATTACGAATTTTCAATATTTATATTGATTATTTGTGATATAATTTAATATAGGATGATGAATTATCTTTTAGGTCAGATTTATTATTTTATTAGGAATTAAGGTTGGGTTAAAACAATAGTTTTAGTTATTATTAGTTTATTAGGAATTAGAGTTAAGACATGATTAGTTTATTATTATTTTATTCTTTAGTTATTTAGGACCTTTAGAACTCAACCCCTATATAAAGGAGGCTTCATTCAATTTGTAAAAAAAGGATTTCTTTGATTAATAATACAACGAGAGTTCGTTTTTGCAAGTGCTGATTGTCTTGTGCCTTCGAAGCTTCTTCTCCTTGAGTTCTTTTAAGTTCTTGTGAGGGAGATTAATCTTCACACTCCAATTTGCCTTTTCATCGAGACTAGGAGGGTTGGTTAGAGCCATATTATCGTGTTTTCCTTTTCATTGCGACTAGGAGGGCTCGATAGGACATTATCCATCGATTTTCCACATATCCATTCACGCCATCAATCATCTTTACCGATCACCTTAATAAGGGAGATCTTTTGATTTCTTGGTTATCTTATTTTATTTGCAATTCCTTTATCTTTTCTTTATCTTGTTTTAATCTTGTTTCTTACCTTGTTTCCATCACTTAAAAGAAACCCTAAGAACCCTATTTGTTACGCCACCTTCTCCTATTCATTCTCCATTATCCTTCATCGAGTCTAGAGCTTTCTAGGTTTGATTCTTTAACAAGAGCAACGTTCATTAACCCTCCACCACTTCCCCTATCAATTGATATCAGATTTGGGCTGATTCTTGGAAAGAAGCAAGCAATCTTGCACAGAAAACCGTCAAGGTATCCCAACAGAGCTAGTTCAGAGAATATTCATCGTTTCAGGTTCTTTTAATTTAGATTCAAATCCTTCTTGTTAGTTTGCTATTTTTTTAATAAAAAACAAAAAAGGCAAAAAAAAAACAAAAAATCCAAAATTTCAAAAAAATACAAACGAAGGTATTTAGGGTTGATTTTCTCCAGATATCATATTCATCCTAATAGAAATCTCCAGTCCAAAATTTACCCAAATCGGAGTTCATTAGTTCCTTCAAATATATCCTTCAAGTTTCATCGGTAGATTCGGTCTAGGATCTTGTCAAATTTCTTGAAAATTCTACAGGAGGAATTTCATGGTGAAAATTTCAAGATTACAATTTCAAATATTGAAGATCATTTAAAAAAAATCTGAATTTGTGGAGATCAATAACACCTTCTAACAAAGCGATCAAGAAAAATAGATTGTTTGAGGACTCACCATTCAAAAGAGTCTACTGGATACTACTGAAGGTATTTGGTTATGAAATTTTATAGGTGGTTTCTTGACGCATCGAAAAACATTCAAGAATTTTTCCAAAATTTTTGGACACCGGTAACACCCTCAAAAACGTTGCTCAAGTTGATCTAGCGTTTTCCAGGTTTCAGGGTTGGTTCCTTTTTTTCTTTGACTCTTAGTGCTTTAGGTTCTTTTGTTTTTCCTTGTTATTGTTCTTTTTCATTATATAACACATTATCTTCCTTGTGTTAGTAGGACTAAAGATTTTGCATACTTCTTCATTCTTTGCATTCTCGTTCTCTTGGAGTCTAACATTTGTTTGGCCTCTTGGAGCTTTTAAGTTTTTCTTATCGCCTTTGCTAGTAATCAAACTCCGATACAAATTGTGGAAGACTACTTGGTAAAGTGAGTTTTAAAGAGTACAAGATCGGCTTACTTGCCTCTCGTTGTGTTACTTTCTTAGAGTGACTTGTGAGGTTTCTTGCTTTGTTGAATTTTATTTCTTTTATTTTTATTATACTTTAAAATTTTCTTTTGAGTGTTATGATTTCAGGATGGGCGACAATAACATCAAGACACTTACGACTATCTTAGCCGCACTTGCACGACTTACGACTCAAATTGAAAGATTTGATGAACTTACCAATACCATGAGAGAACGACAAGAATCACAACTAGATCTACCAATCCAAAATCCAAGACCAAACAATGTTGAACTTTTGGTACCCAGGCGAGAACAACCACATTTCCAAGCACCCGAACTCTTTCCAAAACCAAAGTTCATGATCTCATCTTTCAAAGGAGACAACGATCCAGACAGGTACATCGATTGGGAAGGAAAAGTTGATCTCATGTTCGCATACCATGACTACCCCCAAGCTAAACAAGTTCCCCTTATCACCATGCAATTCGAAGGATATGCTGGAACTTGGTGGATGTAAACAAAAAAAAAGATCCAGAACTTCCAAATTCCAACGATCACTTCTTGGACCGACCTTAAACAAACCATGACGAAGCGATTCCTACCGACACATTATACACGAGAAGTTAAACTACGACTACACCGACTTCGACAAGGTAGAAGTTCAGTTGAAGACTACTATAAGAAGATGCAGTCCTTACTCAATAGGGCTAACATAACCGAAAAATAAGAGGTCACCATGTCAACATTCGTCTTCGGCTTGAACTCAAACATCACTGATCTTCTTGACCTCCACGGGTACGAAAACCTTGAAGATACACTAAAGAAAGCAATGACAATCGAAGAACAAATCCAAAGGAGATCTCGATTCAGTGAACATTACCAAGGTACTTCATCCTCTTACGAAGGTAATCCTTCAAATCCTTCCTCATCTTCTACTCCATCTTCTCTGAAAAAGCCAAGAGATGACAAACCTGATAAGGAGAAAGAACGACCAGCAAAGAATGACACACTTAGAGTCCCTAAGATCAAATGATAATTTGTGAGGAGGTAGGGAAAGCAAAAAAAGAAAAAGTTGAGAAAGAGGCAAAAGAAAAAGAGGCCACTAGTTACAAAAGCCAAAAGAATAATGACCCATGGGAGGTGAGTGAACCTAAATGTGAGAAAAAAAGAGTGACTCAAAATCTATGTGTGAGCACAAAAGAATTGAGAGAGGACCTTCTTTACAAACAGCCTTGCATCCTTGTTCGCTTTAGGGAATCAATTGTTTCGATTTCTAACATTAACAAGGATTTTCCTAGTGTGTTTT